TATGATCAATTTATAATTTTATACTAATGAATTAAAAAATTTTGTTTACTAATTAATAGGATGAGCATGTTGCCGAGTTTGAGGGTTCTGGACCCCGACACACGTATAGTCGTTGTGTGGATGCTTCCGCTCGGCGGGAGATGGAGGAGAGGCGTCGTGAGGCTCTCCTGGTACAGCTTGGGCAGACTGGCAGTTTGAGACCTCCCGTTCGTCCGATACAGATCGGTCAACAGTCAGGGCCACTCATTCCTGCCACTTCGGGAGGTCCCCCTCTGATACAGAGTGGTCAGCAGTTCGGTCAGCAGTCCGGCTCAGTCATGGATGGCAGATCGGGAGGTCTCGTTCGTCCGATGCAGTTCGGTCGACAGTCCGGCTCAGTCATGGCTGGCAGTTCGGGAGGTCTCGTTCGTCCGATACAGAGTGGTCAGCAGTTCGGTTGGCAGTCCGACTCAGTCATGGCTGGCAGTTCGGGAGGTCTCGTTCGTCCGATACAGAGTGGTCAGCAGTCTGGGCCACTCGTACCTGCCAGTTCGGAACGTCTCCCTCGGATACGTATCACTCGGTCGCAGGGTTATTCTTCTGAGTCGGCAGTCAGAACTCCGGCGAATGATGATGATGATGATGATGATGATGATGGTAGTGATGGGGATGACGAGACATTTGACTCCGACTATGTGGCAGCTGAGCAGGACATTGTATCTCCTGACCCACAGGCACAGCCAGAGCGGCCACAGGGTCCTGCACCTGCACCTGCACCTGCAGCCGGTGCAGGTAAAAGACTCATTGGAGTTAATCCTCCACGACAGGGTGGGGGTCGTTTTGCGGGCGCTGGATCTTCCTCATGTAAATGATTTACGTATTTATTGTTGTTTACCATTATATGTTTTTTTATTAAATAATTGATACGGTCAGTCACAATATGTCGTATATATATTGATTGTTCTATTCTAATACAGGTGCGAGTAGCAAACGGCCGAAGAATGACCCCTGGATCGTTACAGCCCCAGTGCCCGGTGGCCCCGTTGACGGGAGTGTTATCCCTAGTTTTCTAGGGCACGTAGCCTCCCGTATGTGGACTGGAGAGTTCAGAGGCATGCTTAAATGCCAAAACAGGCAGGGCGCGCACGGTGAATTGAGGGGCTGGCTCGAAACGATGGTCCAGGATGCGCGTGATATGATCGTTCAGACCGGGCTGTCACATTTGGCATCCAGCATGCATACTCACGTCGACACTCCACTCATTTCTGCATTTGTTGAGCGCTGGCAGCCGGATACCAACTCGTTTCACCTGCCTTTTGGTGAAATGAGTATCATGCTGCACGACGTGAGGGCCATTTTGGGTGTTCCTGTGGATGCAGCGGTTGTCAGTGTGGACCCCGACGGCCTGACCTGCCAGTCGAACTGCATGGAGATCCTCGGGGTGGACCAGAGTCATCTGATGACGCGTCTTTGGGATCACGGGTCTGTGACAAATCAAGCCGTTTTTGAAGCATTGATAAAGAATGGCGCAGCTCGGTCGGCTGAGCATGTGGCTATTGGCTGGTTGTGGGTGCTGCTCGGTACCACCTTGTTTGTGGACAAGAGTGGTAACAGGGTCAGTCCCAAACTCCTGCACGAGATGATGGACAACGTACGGGAAGTTGGGACTTACTCTTGGGGCTCGGCTGCGCTGGCATACCTGTACAGACAGTTAGGTATTGCCAGCAGGGGGGACTCACAGGGAGTGTCTGGCTGCTTGACTCTCATGCAGTCCTGGATATACGAGTACTTCCCCACCTTCCGACCCCAGCGAGCACGTATGATCCCCGAGCCTGGCTGTGTCGCCCGATCAGCCTCGTGGAGCGTGGCGGTGACAGAGAGGTCAGATGCGCGCCTCAAAGCTTTCCGTAGGCAGCTTGACATTCTCACCGCCGCCGAGGTGCGTCAAGTTATTTTATTTACATTTAGTTGAAAGTTTTTTGGAATAATTGAATTGTTTCAATAAATGTTTTTATGCAATTGTGAACAGGTGAACTGCCTGCCCTACGACCGCCGGCCACATGACATCGAGCCTAGGACCCTTTATAACGGATGCCTTAGGTACCGGGATATTGTGGAGCCGTACATGCCTCTGCGGTGGTTGCGTCAGTTGGGCTACGTGCAGACTGTCCCTCCCCGCATAGATCGTCCGCTCAAGGCAGTCCGTGCCTGGAATTCTAGGTTGTACAGGGTTGAGCATGCGGATACTACTGCAGTGGATCACTGGGACCAGTTCCCGCAACTGCATTCTATAAACTTGACTCATTGTACTCCGACCACCGCAGATGATCCAGGGGAGGCCCATGAGCAGTACCAGCAATGGTACAATCAGTTTTCTTATCCTAGACTCTTGCCTGACAGTCTGCCGGACGACGAAGCCGTCCCTTCGCGCGCCAACACCGGTTATGTAAGTCGTTTACCAAATTTTAGTTATTGTGCTTTCATTAAAATACTAAGTCGTTTTTTAATATATATATGTGATAATATTTTTACTTCTGCTTTTACGTGTAGTGGGTGAATTGGTTATTCTCCGCATCATCAGACCTCCTGCGGGATTTAGAGGTTGTTGATCCTGCTGTGGCGGCGCGTCATGCAGATACGCTGGCCCTAATTAAGGCGGATTGGGAAAGGGCGCAGCGTTGATGTAATAAATATATATATTTTTATTTTATTTTGAATTTTGTTGTACGATGAATGTTATTTGAATTGTTTTTTTCTTTTCTTTTTTTTTTAACTGTTGTTGCTTCATTTTATTTTCATTTATTTCCAAATGTTATACCACAATCCAACTCAAAAATTCCATAACATCACGTGAAACGGTAAACACTGTCAAATATCACAATATATCTATCATAATGCAGAATAATATAATGAATGTCATCAATCGCAACAAACATAAGTCGAATATCATAATATATCAAACTCCAGTTCCTCTACGAATATGCCGCCAATACTCGATCCTTGTCTGATACTGATCATCCCATCCTGCAACCGTCGCATCTCTGAATGTCCGCCAAAGGTTACACATAGGCGGTAATGGACAATCAGATGACAGATTCAGACGAATGAAGTGTTTGTAAAAACCAAGATGACCTATGGCGATCTCGCGGTCAGGTCTTGTAGCCGTGGTAGTGCGCACAACGGCAAAAATGTCATGCTATTGAAATCGATATTGTCATTTTTGTCACCACTGCCTAACAACACCACAAGTACATTATATACTGTAGCAATAGCAAAGAAGTCACCTACAACTTCCATCCAATGCTCCTCGTTACAAGGCCCCCCTTCCCATCTTATCCGATCGATTGCTCTGTCGGTTTCATAGTAAAACACAGGATCGTACAACTGTCTGTTGGCTACAATCTCATTTGCAATGTTCCTTCTTACCACTGGCCACCTCAACTGGTTCATGTGCATGTAACTCGCAACCACCCGAAATCCGCAGTTCCCATCCGGCGTCACATCCAGATAGCTCTCTACATAAGGGTGGATTACGTAGGGAATTCTCCAATAAAGCGGATATTCGTAGAAAACCGTCGAGAAAGTATCTGTAATATCATAATAATTTCACGTCACAAATTAGATAATCGAACTTACAAACATAATTAGTTATCGTTCAACATAAACAAATAAATAAGAAAAAAAAATCACCTGTCGGCTCATCTGAATGTTGAGAAGATGAGCTTGTCGGTGCACAAGAAGAACGGCTGTTACGCCCCACCGGACAACCTCTTTCCCTGTATTCCCATAGCGATGGAGCACACGAAGAAGTGCTTTTACGCCCCACCCAGCGACCTGTTTCGGTGTACTCCGATTGCGATGGAGCACACGAGGAAGTGCTTTTACGGCGTCTTTCACTGTACTCCCATTTCGATAGATCGCGCTTTGTTGAATTGGGCTTCTTGGGCCGACCTCTCGGATTATCCTTCACTTCAGGTTCTTTGTAACCTTGTTGGTCGGGGTGAAGTTGCGAGTCGATGAACTGATTCACGTACCGCAGCGTCGCGGGATCGGCCGCTTCAAGCTCCGCAGCAAGGCGATAAAAATAGTCACGATCAGTCCATCCGCTCGCCGGTGCACTCTGTTGACCTGTCCGCAAAAATAATTTATAAAATTAAACAACACACTCTATA